TACTGAATCCAAAAGTTCAAGTATTATTGAAGATACTACTTTATTCATTTGAAAAACCAAAAAATATATATATATATAATAAATAAATAAATTCTGTGAAATTAAAGTACAGCACAAAGTCCCCTATACTTCCCATTGGCTACTTGTACTTTTTTTTGTTAACTCTCGTGTTCAAATTTTATTGGAGAAGCTTTTTTTTTTGCCCTTTTGGGGTGGAGGATTTGAATTTGAATTTTAAAATTCGAGGATGTATCTTTATGATGATACATGAAATTATCGAATTATAAAACTCAAATGTTATTAGAGAAAAGTTTTAAAAAGTATTATGTTATATATTTGTATTATAAAAAAGTAGGTATCATGTTATGTTATAAAAAATTAAGTAAAAAATATTTTAAAATTATGTTATTGTAATAAAATTTTATTAAAATATTAAAATATCTTAATTATTTTTTTAAATAGGAATGATGATATTTTAGTTTTTTTATTATAATATTTTATTTAATAATTTAAAAATATTTTTCTACTTAATTTTTTTATAAATTTGACTAATAAACATTAAATTTTTTTATTATTAAATGTACTAAAAAAAGTTGATATACAATATTAAAGATACATTTAGTTTAATTAATTTTACTCATTTATAACTTTTTCCTTAAATAATTAATTAAAGTGTTTGAAAATATTAACATATAAATTAATTTTTAAATTTTTAAAAATTAATTACAAACTATTTTATTAATTATTAATTATCAATTAATAATACAATTATTAATAACAAACCAATTATTAGTTTAATCAACTACTTGTTGATTTAAGTAGAAAGAGTTTGGTTTTCTTTAAACAAGATCCTGAATTCGAGTTTTATGAATGAAAAAACAAGCGTGGAGAGAGTTTTTTCCATAATAAAATCCGATGCGACTCGATTCCGAATTAATCGAAATCTAATATAATTATCGAATATCAAAAAATTAAAAAAAAATAGTAATAAACAAACAGAGGCTAAATTATATTTAATGGAGCCTTGCTTTATCCTTCTGCGGAACCATACTCCATCTCACGAACCCATATATCCCCGGTGGCCTCAAGTTCC